GCCCTGTGACCTCTGCCCCCAACCTCTGCCCTCCAGGCCCTGAGTTCTGGTGCTCCATCGCCTACTTTGAGATGGATGTGCAGGTCGGGGAGATCTTCAAGGTACCATCCAGCTGTCCCGTGGTCACCGTGGATGGCTATGTGGACCCCTCAGGTGGCGACCGCTTCTGCCTGGGGCAGCTCTCCAATGTGCACCGCACTGACGCCAGCGAGCGTGCCAGGTCGGGGCCAGCGTGGGGCCAAGCGAAGGGCAGAGTGGGGAGATTTGGGGGGCCCTGGTGGGCGCAGACTGAGCCATCTGTGCCCCACAGGCTGCACATCGGCAAGGGGGTGCAGCTGGAGTGCCGGGGCGAGGGCGACGTGTGGATGCGCTGCCTGAGCGACCATGCCGTCTTCGTGCAGAGCTACTACCTGGACCGCGAGGCTGGGCGCGCACCCGGTGACGCCGTACACAAGATCTACCCCGGCGCCTACATCAAGGTAGGGGTGCGGGAGGCCGCGAGGTGCCCGGTTTAGGGCTGAGCTCGCTGTGGCCCCCCCTCCCCAGCGCTGAGTCTCGTCCCCAGGTGTTCGACCTGCGTCAGTGCCACCGGCAGATGCAGCAGCAGGCAGCCACGGCGCAGGCAGCAGCTGCTGCTCAGGCAGCTGCCGTGGCTGGTAGCATCCCAGGGCCTGGCTCCGTGGGCGGTATCGCACCGGCAGTCGGTAGGTGCCAGGGCAGCGGGAAGGGCATGGCAGCCCAGTTTACAGGGGGCTGTTCCTCAGTTCGTGGGAGCGTTGGGGATGCTGGAGAGCCCCAGGGGATGGTGCAGGGAGCCCAAATATAGCTCTGGCCACGGGGTGGGGTCTGGAGAGCCATCTCCCCAGCAGCTGTGCCGTCCCCAGGGCTCTCGGCGGCAGCCGGCATCGGAGTGGACGACCTGCGGCGCCTCTGCATCCTGCGCCTGAGCTTCGTGAAGGGCTGGGGCCCGGACTACCCGCGGCAGAGCATCACGCACACGCCGTGCTGGATCGAGCTGCACCTGCACCGCGCGCTGCAATTGCTGGACGAGGTGCTGCACACCATGCCCGTGGCCGAGCCCGCGCCTGTCAACTAGTCCCACGCCACGGCGGGCCTCCGGGGCTTTGGCCCAATTGTACGGAAAAGCCAAATAGCGGAAAGTACCAAAAATCCTGGCAAGGGGGGGGCAGGGCGGGGTTTGTGCCCCCGGCCCACCCCTGGGAACATGCCCTTCGTTTGCTCCCGGTGGCTTTTAATCGTTATTTAAATGCTCTTGTGTTTTTTCCACGTGGCTCCTGCCTGGTCCTTCCCGCCGTGGCATCTGGGGGGCCGGTCGCCCAAGTGGGTCCTGGACTGGAGCCCCCTGATGGGAGGGGTCAGATTGGGGGTCCGGGCTGTGCTCAGCGGTGTACTTTGGGGGCAGGGTAGTGCAAGCATTTCCCATAAGCCTTTGCGCCAGGCTCTCCCATGATGCTTTGGAGCAAGAGCAGAACAGCGGCTCCCGCCAGCCCTTGCGCGCCCCAAGATGGCGTCTGTCTTGGGATGTCGTTGGACTACTTTTCCCATCTGCCCTTGCGCCAGATCCAAGATGGCGCCTCCCTGGACGTTTCGGGGGACTACATTTCCCGCCAGGCCTTGCTTGCGGCCCAAGACGGCGCCTCCCGTGATGCCCCGGGCTTCGCGCGGACTCCATACCCCACAGGCCCTTGCGGCGGCGCCGCCTGACTGCGCTTCCCGGCGTGCCCCGCACGG